GGTTGGCCACCCCTGATGTATGGTCATCGTGCTAAAATGCTAAAACACACACACAAAGACATACAGTTGCACCTGGCTGCTCTGCTTATATTTGGACAGATGGCAGAGAGTGAGGTCCAACAACAGGCGGATTACTGGAGAGATCACACACACACACACACACACACACACACACACACACACACACACACACACACACACACACACACACACACACACACACACACACACACACACACACACACAGCGGCTGTACAGTCCGACAGATGCTGGCGGATCAATACGAGACTCCCTCACAGTCTGCAGCTGAACAAAGGCTCCATTGGGATGGAAATCGAATGTAAACGTCCCCACAGGAGCCGTTATCCCACAATACCATGCTCAGAATCTGCGCTCCTTGCCTCTGAGCTCATTCATATGCTAATCCAATATCCTGGCCATATCAAATCGCTGTCAGGAAGAATGTTGACATCAGCGCAAAGCAGTAGGCGAGTCCTGAAGCTGAGAGGCTGGGGGGGGGTAACTCTTTGTGAAGGAGCGTCTGCACATAAATGAAATCAGACAGACAACTTATAATGAGGCAAAGACAATGGCTGCCAAACAAAGTGCTGGGGGGGGGGGTGCGTGTGTGAGCGTGTGTTGCAAGGTGCTGCGAGACGGGGGGCTTATGAAGGTCTAGGCAGCTACAGTTCACTCAGTAGTTACACTTCTGACATATTTAAAGCTTCAATTTGTTCTGTTATTATTATTTCAATTTAAAATGTCAGCTTTTTGTCCAAATAGTTATTTAATGTACACTTCTTTGAGCTTGCTCACATTAGTACTGTTATTGGAGTGTATCTGGATTACTGTTTGGAACTCCTCTTTGTTTGGTTTCTTTCAGAGCTCTGACACTGGACACACACACAAACCCTTCCACTGAAATCAGTTCCATTCTAGAGACATTTAGACAGATTATTATATATGGTAAATGTTTCAGTTGGCAAGAAGGCTGTATACCTTTTACATTTTTTTTCAATGAATTAAATCATTATGAGTTACGATTATACTGTTTTTGTATAGTTTTGTGTATCCCCACATTTCTGAACTGTGCAAATGTTATAGTAGCTATAGTATAACTAGTTTGGTTCAACTTGCAAACTAAAAGTTTGCTTTTCCGCCGCTATCATTGTGGCATAAGTGGTTATCTCCCGGTATGTTTTAGCAGAATATTTTTCACTATGATCTTCACATTTTGTGTATCCCATGTATTCATTACTCCTGATTGTAAAAACGTTCTTCTCTTCATCACACTCTCCATGAACTGTTATCGCTCAGGGTAATGTCGCCCCAGCCTCAGACTCAAACCTCTCGGTTCCTGCCCAGCAGATTGTTAGTGCCACTGTCAACTGGAACTGGTTTTTAGGGTCTGAGAGCCGGCCCCGCTGCGGCGGAAATAGAAAGAACGATTCTCAATCGGGCACTGGATCAGAACTGGTCTCTGAACCGCTACGGTAGAAAAGGGCTCACAGGAAGAGGTTGTCATGCAATCATCTCTACGACAAGACCCCCTTTCTTTGATGAAGTCTGCAGTTATTGTAACAATCATCAACACCATCCGTATGTGATTTAATCCCTTCTGATGTTTAAGTATATGTAGTAGGATCCATCGGGGGGGGGGTTCTACTGGACTGCACTGGATTATTTCTACTGTCTGTGCAAAGACTCCTGTTGGATCTGAAGTGTGAAAATCCCAGCGTCATGGGCGGGCCCCATGGGGTGTGGGCTGTCTTTCATTTTGACACACAGAACAATGGGGGCTATCCACCCTTATCCACAATGTAAAGTCATTCACACAGCCTCTTCCCTCTTCTCTCTATGAGGAGCAGCAGGTTCAGCTTTCAGAACAAAGAAACTGAAATGGCATTCATTTTTTTAAATATGTCGTGTAGAAATACATTTATTTATTCTTCTTCTCAAGGGAGTACCAGAATGTGTATTTTATGTTAGTATTTCAAAAAATGTCCTGGGGGACAGGAGCAGGCAGCTCCCGTTCGAGCATATGCCTTGAGTTGCACATAGCTCCAACGATCCATCTCACACACACACACACACACACACACACACACACACACACACACACACACACACACACACACACACACACACACACACACACACACACACACACACACACACTTTGTATTGTATGAGAGAGGTTCCAGATTGAATTGAGGCGAATATTTGTAATGTTCAGAGGTTGTTGTGTTTAATATTCATGAGAATATTTGTCATTGTTCAAATGATAATAAACAAACATTAGCATAAAGCATATTTGTCCACTCATATGTTGATAAGAGTATTAAAAACTTTAAAAATATCCCTCTAAGGTACATTTAGAACAGATAAAAAATGTGCGATTAATTCGCGATTAATCGCGATTAACTATGGACAACCATGCAATTAATCGTGATTAAATATTTTAATCGACTGACAGCCCTAATTTAAACAGAACCCCATTGTTTGTAGATTCTAAAGTAACCAGAGCTGTTTACCCAGACTGCCTCAGTGACCCACAGAGAGCACGCTCAGTGCACTGCAGCTGTGTGATCACACGTGTGTGTGTGTGTGTGCATACAATGGCTTCAGGAAGCTTTTTCCACTGTGCATTGCCTTATTCACAGACATATGAATCAAGATATCTCCTCTGGAAAGAAACAGAGCCCATTCAGACAGGAGGCACTTTGTGTAAAGTGGATGAGAAGTCAATGAGGTGTGGACTGCTAACTCTGAGGAGTGTAAGACAGCAGGTCACAATCTTCCTCCATAAAGGAAACAATGCTCAGCTTCTGTTAACAGATTTTGTCAAAATTAAGGTTTCTGACCTTATGTTATCTTATGAGTACTAATAAACAAACTCCTGCGTATTAACAAAACATGTATTTTTCTATATTGCTTCTATATAAATACAGACCACTTGTTTAATAACAAGTGTACATGGGAACATGATGTCAAATTGTGAATATTAAGACAGATGCAGAATGTGCTTACAGTTTTGGAATGTAACTAAGTACATTTGCTCACGTGCTGTACTTAAGTTCTATTTTAATATCCTTGTACTTCACTTGAGTAAAGTCTCTACTACATGTATGTAACACTCAAATCTAAGAGCTACTTTGTACATATAAAAACAGATGATGTGATGCAATATAGTATATTTAATATACCCATTATTTTAAGCAAGTATCTCAAATTGGCTCCATATTGAGAAACTACAACAAAAAATGCATTATCTGACTGGTAATTGCAACTGATAAAACAGAATAATGATTTCTAAAACTGTAAAAAAAAAAAGATCCATTGGGCATACTGACTTGTTTTTACTTTTGATACACTAGTACATTTTACTGAAAATACTTCTGTACTTCTACTTTTGCCCCTGTGTACCCCCCCACCCCTGGTATTTGTTATATATGTTTGTAACATCACCTCCCAGTGGCTGAAGACCAGCTGTGGGCTGGCCAATCCGCTGGTCCTCTTGCGGATCTCGTCAGCGAATCCGAAGCTCTCAGCGACGGGCAGCACGGCCTTGATGAGGAACATGTCAGTCCCCTCCTTCATCTCCTCATGCAGGACCCGGCCCTCACGCTTCCCCAGCACCCCGTACACCCTGCCTGGGACAGGGGGACAGCAGGTCAGGACCCAGCTCACACACTCAGGTCAGCTGATCACTGGGTTCTAGAAATCATTTTCCAGGTGAAGACATTGTAACATTTATGTAACAAGCTGAAGTTTTAACTGTAGTCCGATCAATACTGAATTTCTTGAGAAGATTGTAAAACGTATCACATCCCATAATTGGACCTTTTCATCTATTTGATTTTAAGAAAACAATATTTGAAAGAGGAAGTAAAATGTAGACTGCTTTCAACTCATCCTAGCATTAGGATGTTGTAATACATATTAACAGAACTATAGAATGTTTGGCTTCAGTCAAATGTTGATTTGCTCAATAAACCACAACAGAAGTTGATTCATTCATCTCAGAATTTGGTCTGCAAAATTCAGAAAGCAGTTTATCTTTTTAGAGAATGGGTTGAATAAAGATGCTTGTGAAACAGAGAAAAAGGGAAAGCCAGCATAGAGACTTCAGCTTTCTTTAAGTCCATTCTAGAAAACACACTTTTATTTAGCTCACCAAGCAGGTGATCAACGTCTTCTAATCTGACATGCCCGCTTTTTGTCCCAAAGTGAACTTTGTTGGAGACAGACTCCCTTTGGAGGAAATCCTCCTGGTCTAGCTCCGACATCAGCTTTGGATGACATACTACTTCCAGAGCTTTACATTTGAAATCATCTTCAAATGTTGAAATGAATCATTAACAATGTTTTTTTGTTTTCTTTTTCGTTTTAAAATAGAAATAAAACCCGTTAAGTTTACTATTTGCAAATGATCACCTACATTAATCAAAAATAATAAATGTCATGTACAGTATAAAACAGAACAATTAGCGGTCAGGGCCAGTGACACAGCGCCAGGTGTATGCAATATAATTGTTTCACCGTTGTTATAAAAAACAAATGAAATCAATAGAAAAAAATGTGAATGACAAAGTGTGTGTGTGTGTGTGTGTGTGTGTCAGCTCCCTCACCCAGCACCTCGGCGGTGGCCATGATCTCACAGGTGTACATGGCGGCCATGAGTCTCTGCGGCTGGGCCTGGAAGGCGTGGCGGCACGCTTCCTTCATGGCGGCGATCAGCTGACCGGAAACCGGCCCGTAACAGGCGGGGGGGGGGGCCTCCGCTCTGCGCCTGGCCTGGCTGGGCCCTGACACCGGGCCCTCCGTCTTGGCGGGGGTCTTACTGCTCCCCTCCACTTTACAGTCAGCTGGAGCCTCATGGGATACGGAGGCCTCCTCCACGGAGTCCTGATGTAGTGGGGGGGCAGAGGACTGGACGTCCCACCTCTCCAGGGAGAAGCAGACCCCCATCAGCGGCTCCTCGCACATGGGCCCTGACAGGGTTGCGAGTTGGAAGCCGCTGACGATGCTGTTGTCTAAATCTCGAGTGAAGGCGGTCTGAGCTTTGGCCTCAGGGGGGCCGCCCAGACACAGACACTGCCACACAGAGGGCCGCTGGTAGCCCTCCACACTGTTCAGCAGGATGTTGGGACCATATCTGGAAATAGGAAGGGTAACATGATGAATTACTGATACAAATCATTTGTGTTCATACCAATCCCAGGTATGCAGCACAGCCTCATTCTGAAGGATTATATGAAGAGAGCAGATGATTCAAATCAAATACAATATGTAAATATGAATTAAAATGCTGCATTAATCAATATTTGTTTTTTGGGCCACTTGAATTGAAACAAAAGTTTCTCATCTCACCATCCAGCAGGCACAGGGCAACATTAGTTCATGTTCATGTCAGTCTGATATTCCCTCACCTGTTGGCTAAATATATTTATTAAAATAAAGTAAATTAGGAATAAAGGACTTTCTTAAATGTAGACCTGGTTCTTACTTTTGAAGTTGAGGTTAACAAAGGTTAAACTTCTTTAAGGGAAAGGTCAGTCTACTCTGTTCTCTGTTCTCATTATCAACAGAATGATATATTCCATGTGAGATCAAACTGAATATCTACTAGTTTGAGCTTGCTGTGTCTCTGCTTTAAATCTATCCAGCGGGGGGCACAGACCTGCGGGGTCCGAAGGCCCAGATGTGCTCCACAGCGCTCCTCCACCTCCGGCCCTGCAGCAGGCTCTCCAGCTGGGCTTTGAACCCAGCGATGGCCTCCAGAGTCTGGGGGCTGACGTCCACACTCCTCCCCTCTCTCAGGGACATGTTCACCTGCTCCAGAGTGCGGATGAGCTCCGTCCTGCTCTCCAACAGAGACGTCACATCTGACAGGAACAGCAACATTACAGGGTTTATATCATGAACAGTTTTATTTCAGTGGTGCTTAACCCGGTCTCTGACACAGAGAGCTGCTCTTCAGTCCAAACACAACATTCACCAGAGTCCTGAGTCATAAATCACTCCCTGATCTGCAGGAGTAAAACCCAGCAGGAGGGAGGTGGAGTCAGAGGAAGTGTACACAGAGCCTTTCCTCTCACACGCAAGAACAAGTAGATTGTAATGAGTTAAGATGGATATATTAAAGCCGGGATTCCACCGGGTCCATCTGCGGTTTTGTTCCGACCTCCTCCAGCGTCAAACCCCACTCATTCCTGCACCGCTTTATGGGAAAAGCCCTCAATAATTTGATCTCTTTAAATGAACTTTGTCTGTTGCTGTGTGCCGTTCTTACCCTGGGGCAGGGGGGCGGCCCGCACGCAGACGGAGGCCAGCCGGTTGGGGGTGGTGAGGGTCACCAGACCACTGGGGTCCACATTGAGCGTGTCAGAGGAACGTCCATGAGAGGCCTCTTCTTTCACCTAGCAACGCAGACATACACACCAACATATTTCACTGTGATGTGTTATTGTCTTTATGATCCAACCCAAGTATAGTTACACATGTCACTTCAAAACAACTTTAAAAGAAAATATGAAAAGTGTTTTTCTGATGTGGACAGCATGCGGCTGACTTACCCGGTGGATGGCCACTTTGTGCTGATGGCCCAGCTCTTCATTCACCATGTCCACTTTCGGGGGCCGCACCACTGTTTCTCTGAAGGGAATGATGGGCTTGGACGCGCTGATCTCAATTTTAGCAAACCTTTGAAAAGACAAGTGAGAATCCTGTTATTGAAGCTAATGACGGATCGTTTTGGTTTCCTTTGTCCTCCATCAGCTCCAGGACAGTTTGGTTTTATTCCAAATCATAGTCATAAACATTTTAAAATGGAAACAGCTAATATGGTGATGTTTAGCGTGTTATGGAGAGATAAAACAATCAATCCATAATGAATTCACACAGTAACTATTTGATTTATGATGATGAATATCTTCTCTTTCTATTGGGCAGATAAAAGAGACATTTGGATAAATCACCTTTCGTCAGTGGCGGCTGGTGGAAAATATTTTTGGTGGGGCTATGGAAATGGTGACAAAACCATGTGTGTGTGTGTGTGTGTCAGTCATACTTGCCAACCCTCCCGATTTTCGCGGGAGACTCCGGCATTTCTCCCGATTTCTGACAAAATCAGATTTACTCACGACTGTTTCCACTCGGACACCATTGTTTGGTTTCCATGGTAGCGCGTCTCTTTAGCAGCGCGCGCAACTCAAAGTCTGAGAGGGTGAGGAAGATGAAAACTGAACAAGAATCGACAACTCGACCCTCTGCTCACTCCTTTCCTGTAAAATACAGGTCCAGCCCACACATATGCTCCATGGTGCTACAGGCATTGCCCTTACAACTACAATAAGCATGCAAATGTTAATCTATAGCTCCGGCGATCCACTAGCACCGGAGTCTACACCTGCAGACGCAGCCATCCCCTACTGTAGCGTCACCTTGGATACAAGTCTAAACAACTCACAGACACACAGGCCAGGGCGCTGAAAGGGCGCCCTTTGAGCATCAGATCTGACGACGCTGATTGGCTAAAATTATGTTTCGGCGGCATAGTTTACAGATAGCAACAGTCAGCTTGTTGGCTGCAGCTGCTCTGGCTGAGGGCTCCTTTCTACCGCCCGGACGAGAGAGGGTAATGATACACGCTGCGGCCAGGCAGGAAACATGTGACTTATCAGTAACTTTAGACATCGTAAAACAATTTTAAACGAGATTTTATTGTAGATTATACATTTTACTGATACCAACTATATAATATTTACCTTGTTCT